GCGAGGGGACTACAAGAGAGGGGTTGGGGCTACAAGAGAGGGGTTGGGACTACAAGAGAGGGGTTGGGACTACAAGAGAGGGGTTGGGACTACAAGAGAGGGGTTGGGACTACAAGAGAGGGGATGGGACTACAAGAGAGGGGACTACAAGAGAGGGGACTACAAGAGAGAGGTTGGGGCTACAAGAGAGGGGTTGGGGCTATAAGAGAGGTGTTGGGACTACAAGAGAGGGGTTGGGGCTACAAGAGAGGGGTTGGGGCTATAATAGAGGTGTTGGGGCTATAAGAGAGGGGTTGGGACTACAAGAAAGGGGTTGGGACTACAAGAGAGGGGTTGGGGCTATAAGAGAGGTGTTGGGACTACAAGAGAGGGGACTACAAGAGAGGGGACTACAAGAGAGGGGTTGGGACTACAAGAGAGGGGTTGGGGCTACAAGAGAGGGGACTACAAGAGAGGGGTTGGGGCTACAAGAGAGGGGACTAAAAGAGAGGGGTTGGGGTTACAAGAGAGGGGACTACAAGAGAGGGGTTGGGACTGCAAGAGAAGGGACAACAAGAGAGGGGACTACAAGAGAGGGGACTACAAGAGAGGGGTTGGGGCTATAAGAGAGGTGTTGGGACTACAAGAGAGGGGACTACAAGAGAGGGGTTGGGGCTACAAGAGAGGGGACTAAAAGAGAGGGGTTGGGGTTACAAGAGAGGGGACTACAAGAGAGGGGTTGGGACTGCAAGAGAAGGGACAACAAGAGAGGGGACTACAAGAGAGGGGACTACAAGAGAGAGGTTGGGACTACAAGCGAGGGGTTGGGACTACAAGAGAGGGGTTGGGACTACAAGAGAGGGGACTACAAGAGAGGGGTTGGGACTACAAGAGAGGGGACAACAAGAGAGGGGACTACAAGAGAGGGGTTGGGACTACAAGAGAGGGGACTACAAGAGAGGGGACTACAAGAGAGGGGACTACAAGAGAGAGGTTGGGACTACAAGCGAGGGGTTGGGACTACAAGAGAGGGGTTGGGACTACAAGAGAGGGGACTACAAGAGAGGGGTTGGGACTACAAGAGAGGGGACCACAAGAGAGGGGTTGGGACTACAAGAGAGGGGTTGGGGCTATAAGAGAGGTGTTGGGACTACAAGAGAGGGGACTACAAGAGAGGGGACTACAAGAGAGGGGTTGGGACTACAAGAGAGGGGTTGGGGCTACAAGAGAGGGGACTACAAGAGAGGGGTTGGGGCTACAAGAGAGGGGACTAAAAGAGAGGGGTTGGGGTTACAAGAGAGGGGACTACAAGAGAGGGGTTGGGACTGCAAGAGAAGGGACAACAAGAGAGGGGACTACAAGAGAGGGGACTACAAGAGAGGGGTTGGGACTACAAGAGAGGGGACAACAAGAGAGGGGACTACAAGAGAGGGGTTGGGACTACAAGAGAGGGGACTACAAGAGAGGGGACTACAAGAGAGGGGACTACAAGAGAGAGGTTGGGACTACAAGCGAGGGGTTGGGACTACAAGAGAGGGGTTGGGACTACAAGAGAGGGGACTACAAGAGAGGGGTTGGGACTACAAGAGAGGTGACTACAAGAGAGGGGTTGGGGCTACAAGAGAGGGGTTGGGACTACAAGAGAGGGGACTACAAGAGAGGGGTTGGGGCTACAAGAGAGGGGTTGGGACTACAAGAGAGGGGTTGGGACTACAAGAGAGGGGACTACAAGAGAGGGGACTATAAGAGAGGGGTTGGGGCTACAAGAGAGGGGTTGGGACTACAAGAGAGGGGACTACAAGCGAGGGGTTGGGACTACAAGAGAGGGGTTGGGACTACAAGAGAGGGGACTACAAGAGAGGGGTTGGGACTACAAGAGAGGGGACTACAAGAGAGGGGACTACAAGAGAGGGGTTGGGACTACAAGAGAGGAGGTTGGGACTACAAGAGAGGGGTTGGGACTACAAGAGGGGACTACAATAGAGGGGTTGGGACTACAAGAGAGGGGACTACAAGAGAGAGGTTGGGACTACAAGAGAGGGGATGGGACTACAAGAGAGGGGACTACAAGAGAGGGGACTACAAGAGAGAGGTTGGGACTACAAGAGAGAGGTTGGGACTACAAGAGAGGGGACTACAAGAGAGGGGTTGGGAAAATGAGACTGAGAACAAACAAACAATAGCAGGTGCTTTCAATAGAAAGGTCACAACACTTGGTCCCGTCGCGCAGTTTCAGAAACCCTAAAAAAAACCGTTCGCTTAAAATAAAATCTTTAAAACAATCTATTGTAAGGATTTTAGGGTAGCGGCCAGGTCAATGACCTAGTGACCGCTGTTAGTGTTTCTAAACCTGGTCAATCCACCAGTGCAATCAATCAATCTTAATGGCGTGTTGCTGGCATTCCATGTAGTGCTGGAACACGCAGTGTGTAAAATGTATGTGCTAGCTTTAATACACAGCTGCGATTGAATATGTTTTTTTTCTTCTAGAAATGAAATAACCGTATAACATTCTTATACTTCCTATAATTATGAATAGAAAGTAATAAATGGAAACTAAAAATAATATTATATCCATATAAAAACCAAAAGCTTATGATTGTAATATATTTCCTGTTTGTATAGTACACTGAAGATTTACTCATATTGTAAAGTTTCCAGTTTGAGTACCGTTATATTTTTTCCTCATACACCAAGTTTTTCCTATAAAAGATTAACTTCTTAAAGAAGAGCTGATTGCACAACATTGGTTTTATTTATTTTTAAATTCGGTGTTTTGTTCAAGTTTACGTTAACATCTGAACCCGGTACGGCGTGTCTCGATCACGTGATACCCCGGGCTCCCAATCACGTGATACGTTTATCCCTTGATCACGTGATACAAACTGCCTTCCTGGAGCAAGGTAGCCAACAGTCGGGAATTTGACCGAGAAAAATTCTTTATTTTTTTTAAAATGTATTTTTATAGCGGGCTTATACCAAATGTACGTACAACTGCCGTGTTGTGTTACCATGCAGCGTGGTGGTGCATCAACCGGTATCTAAAGGGGGGGGGGGGGGTCGGCATGAGCAGTGAAATCAAAATACACTTATAAATTAATTTAAGTCCCCCACTCGAAGAAACACCTGAATGAAACTCTGTTTACTGCCTCTCGTTCCGATTCCCCTCAAACTTTGCCCATTTCCAGCCCTCTCAGTATCCTACCATCCTACCATCCACCCTTATACCCTACTTCCCCTTATACCCTACTCCCCTTATACCCTACTCACCGTTACCCTACTCCCCGTACCCTACTCCCCGTTTCCTTACTCCCCGTTACCATATTCCCCGTTACTCCCCGTTACCCTACTCCCCTTTACCCTATTCCCCCGTTACTCCCCGTTACCCTACTCCCCATTACACTACTTCCCATTACCCTACTCCCCGTTACCCTACTCCCCTTTACCCTATTCCCCCGTTACCCTACTCTCCGTTACCCTACTCCCCATTACCCTACTCCCCATTACCCTACTCTCCATTACCCTACTCCCCGTTACCCTACTCCCCGTTACCCTACTCCCCGTTACCCTACTCCTCTTTACTCCCCGTTACCCTACTCCCCTTTACCCTATTCCCTCGTTACTCCCCATTACCCTACTCCCCGTTACCCTACTCCCCGTTACCAATACTCTCCATTACCCTACTCCCCGTTACTCCACGTTACCCTACTCCCCATACCCCTACTCCCCGTTACAGGACTCCTCCGTTACTCCCCTTTACCTATTCCCCCGTTACTCCCCGTTACCCTACTCCCAGTTAACCTACTCCCCTGATACCCATGTATAATATGCGCTAGTTATCTTAAGTCTCAGTACTCAATATCCACAGATGTATCCCAAGTAACATAACACCGACTTTAATTAAACTATCCGTATTTCATTTCTCCATCTGAACTATTCCACTTGCTTTAATTACATAATAAACACTAACTTTTTTACTGCACTGGAATCTTTTAAATTTTAAAAATACGGTATTTGATACATTGTTAACACACAACACAGTAAAGGCCATTGGTAACACATCATTTAATTACCGGATACATTTGATTCAGCAGCAAGTCACGGTTCATTGCGCTTTAGGTAGTTTGTGTAATGTTTAGATTTAGTCGATGTTCTTACAATGCATCGCAATGGCTGATGTAAGTATTTTTTAATCAGATGGATATATAAATGGTAAATGTGGGAAGCCGAAGAATCGCGTAAAAGTAAATAAATAAAGTGTAATTATAATTTGATTGACTATTTTTCGATTTTAGCCAAATTAATGGGTTATACGCACAGAGAAAATGGTTGTATCATAACATAGATTTCGCCATATTCGCCACCTGCAGTAAAACGTTTTTTCTTCTGACAGCTTTAATACAAGTTTCACTTATCAGCCTTTAGTAAAAGTTTCACTTAATCAACCTTTAGTAAAAGCTTCACTTCATTAAATTTTAGTAAAAGTTTCACTTCATTAACCTTTATTAAGGCTTTGAGTTAATTCAACATTCAGGTGCTAGTCTACAGGTGAGTGACCTCTCCATATCATCATTACATCACCCAACCAGCAGCACTATCTCACCACACAAGTAGGCCCTATATCAGTACCTCACCACACAAGTAGGCCCTATAGCAACACTACCTCACCCCACAAGTAGGATCTATAGTACTATCTCACCCCACAAGTAGGCCCTATAGCAGCACTACCTCACCACACAAGTAGGTCCTATATCAGTACCTCACCCCACAAGTAGGCCCTATATCAGCCTTACCAATACAACATTTCACAATCTTTAAACGGACGCTAAGTCCACGAATACTACCTGCCTTCATGTCCCTGTATAACCTGCATCTATTAATAGCCACCGTTTCCTGCCTTTTAATTACCGTGTGTAGCTTTCATACCGGCAGCGTCGGTACGTTTAATTAACCATTTCATTATCGTAATTAATGTTGATCGGACACACCAAATAAAAATTACACACTATAAAAAAGCTTACCTTAGTTGTGTAACTTTGAGAAAGTATCAAAAGCAGTGATCAGTTTATGGTTAGATTTCTTGAAATGTATAATAATCTCGCCCAAGTTATAGAGTAACGCACTAATAACCATCACGTTTCAATGAATGAATTCAGAATGAGGTTGGACGTATTTTGTTTACTATATTTCAACCGCAAGGGTGTGCGCGTTTACAACCAATCAAAAGCTCGCTCGCGGCGAATCGCAAACTTTCATTGGTCGGTTGGAGATCACTGGAGTACCTGTTTCATCATCAAGGATATTTTTAAAAAGAAAAACATTTTTTTTTTCTGATGGGAATATTGGCATCCATAAATGCGCCGTACACTTGCATAAACAGAAAAATATTTTTTTTTTTTTTTACAGAAAAATTTGAGTTAAATTATGCTTGTAGCTGAGAAAAAAAATATGACAGATTAAATTAAAAATGTAACTTGTTTATGGGGTTTTGGTAAACATTCACTAATTTTCAACGACCCAAGTTATGAGATAAGTGTGAAATAAACAAAATAGTACTTGCATTTGTGTTTAAGACAATTTTACAACTTCAGACTAAATTCAGAGTTGATATTTTATATTGTTCTCAACTTACAGTAACAAAATGTAAATAGGTATATACACACACACACAAACATATATATATATATATATATATATATATATATATATATATATATATATATATATATATATGCATATATGCCTAAAACAATCTTTGGGACTTGAACACAACTCCTGTCAGTTTGTGGCTTCAAAACAAGCCTGTTCCTGTCACTTCATGAATTAAACTAAACTCTTCGACTATAACTTTGAGAACCACTGCGCCAGGTGACCCTGCGTTAGGTGAAGGGTACCTTGTGCGACAGCTGGATCACGGGTCACACGGGTCACTGTACTTCACACACGGGTCCTGTCAACATGGGCATGAGGTTGCATCAAGTCCACGGTGACCTATGTACTAAGTGATAGGATGACAAACCTGGTCGAGCAAATAAACTAGTGTGCAGTAGATTTGATATGTTTGATCACAGGCTACGTTTTTCTGGGTGCCATCTGCAGCAAGTAGAAGTTGTTTTTAGTAACCAAACCTGCTTATCGCCCATGTTGAATCTTCGACCCTAATTTAAGCCTAACTTTGGTTGAAGGAGGGGTGGGGGGCGGAATATATATATATATATATATATATATATATATATATATATATATATATATATATATATATATATATATATATATATTTACATGTATATTTTCTATATAAATTCAATTTCGTTCTGAAAGGGGGGGGGGGTAGACTGTTTTTGGGGGTGGGGGGGGGGGGGGCGAAGAGATGCCTGCAAGAAACACTGAAAGGGTGGGTGTGGTGACAAGGTAGAGAGTACGTCCAGAGCGGCAAATTTTCCTGGCACGATTCAAAATAAAAAAAAATAATGCTAAAAAAAGATCAATACAAGTTACATTTGAAAACATGATACATACTGTGTTTAGGGAACATTAAAAATAGCACAATTATTGTATACATTTAAATTAATATAAAAATGTAATACAAAATGAAAAGAGTTAACCAGTAGCATAAAAGATGATCAGATAATTGAAATCATGTGCATAAACTATTTCAACACGGGGGGGGGGGGGGGGGGGGGAGAGCACAGCAGACAATTTTTCAACAAATAACTCTGTCGTTTAGCTTTTCGTATTAAGGTGAATTTTAAATGTATGCCATCTCACCCCATTGTATTTCTCTTTTATTATTTGGTAAATTAATCATCGGCGTATATAGTTTGATTTCAGACTAGCTACAGTATAAGTCGCTATGTTTTAGATAGAGGTGCAGAGAAAAATGTTTTTTTTTTCTTTACATAAGCAATCACATCTAATCTGTATGGATCACTCACTGGCACGTGTTATGAGAACTATGTAAATAGTTTGCAATTTTAACTAGCTTTCTTTTTTGTCTGCGGGAATAGAAAGGCTGTCTAGGGTAAAATGAGTTGTGGTGCTTTGAGTAAGAATTAGCACTAGTGCTGTGTCTAGGTGAGAATTAGCACTGGTTTTGTTTCATATTGCAACACAGACATTTGTAAACGATGCTACCATTTTTTTCCTACTTTCCTCGGGTCACTGGTTCCTCTAGTCACTGGCTGATTATATTCAGACTAAGATATTAAGACTAAGATATTAAGACTAAGATATTAAGACTAAGATATTAAGACTAGATCTTAAGACTAAGATATTAAGACTAGATCTTAAGACTAAGATATTAAGACTAAGATATTAAGACTAAGATATTAAGACTAAGATATTAAGACTAGATCTTAAGACTAAGATATTAAGACTAAGATATTAAGACTAAGATATTAAGACTAAGATATTAAGACTAAGATATTAAGACTAAGATATTAAGACTAAGGTATTAAGACTAAGGTATTAAGATTAAGACTCATCGGAACTGTCATAGTCTATTACTATCCCTAGACTAGCCCCCCCCCCCCTATCGCTCGTTTGACACAAAACACCACTTTAAAAAATATAACCATCGACGCGACTTGGACGCTGGGTATATGAGTTGAAATCCATTTTAAAATTTCATTTGCTAATCTACGTTTGACTTATTGAATAAATTCTGATTCAATCCACGCTGCGTGTTACGTCAGATCTAGACCTGTAGCTGTTTACAGGTGCGTAGGTACATGGCGCAAACACTTGGATTGTCAGACTGAAAGCCAGTCAACCATGTCGGTTCCGTTTATTTTTCTTTTCTCTTGAAATACAAAATGGCAGCCGGCAACTTGGTTGAACGAGATGACCTCAGATAACTCCAGGTAAGGGAAATAACTCGTGCTACTAAATCTATAGGGATCAACTTTTTTTCCCCACTCCACAGTGTTGTTCTATTGTTGAAATCACAGGGCTCTGTAGGGCGTTTCAAGTTAGGCTGTATTCATATACACACACACACACACTTCAGCATATAAGTACACCCACGCAAACATACACAAACACTCGCGCGCTTACGAACACATTCGGGCATACATGTAAACACACACACAAACATATGCACGTACTCATACGGACACACGCATGTACGCAGACACAAAAGAAATGGAATTTATATAGAAAATATATACTTTTAACCCCCGCCCCCCTTCCCCCCAAAATTTTAGTCCGCCCCCCCCCCCCCCACCCAAAAAAAAAACATTTTAAAGTCCCCACTAGGAGAAAAAAGTCAAGAAGAGACACTGAAACGCATGCATATACACATGCACAAACACACACATAATTAAATAGAGAGTTTCTCTCAGACACCTCTTCTAGGTAGGGGGGGGGAGGGAGGGAATGACTAAGAGAAACAGTACACACACACGAAAATACATAACAGACTTAACACTTACGCAAGCACAGGCAAATACACCTACACCACCCACACTCCATAGAGCGCCTTTTTTACGTACCAGTTGACCGGAGTTCAAGCACATACCTCCCGTCATATCAAGGAGCCAGACTATGACGCAATCGGCGCTAACAACAGCTGACATGCTGTAAAACCTTTCTAACAGCTGACATGCTGTAAAACCTTTCTAACTTCACGTGAGAAAACTGGAGTTGTCAGACCTGGCTAGGTCACCTTGCACCTGTAATGTGCGTTAATTTATTCAGGCTTGGTGCCGAGACCCACCTGTTCCGTGCAGATCTGGAGGCCGTGTGCACCTGTAGAATTACATCCACAGCTTACACTAATCTACATAATCTCTGATCCACTATAAGTGGAGTTGGCTTTATATTTATGGAGTGGCGTGGTCGGGTCGTAGAGCTCTCCACTGCTAACCCGTAAGTCTCCAGTTCGGAGACCTACCTACGAGTCTGGGATCTGAATCCACCCAGCTCTATTTGGTACCTAATAAAAGTTAGAGAAAGTAAAAGGTGGTTGGAATCTCTACATTTACTGTGGTCAAGAAGGTGCTTTTCTTCCTAGAGCTATATGAAATACAACTTTAAATTATAAGATTTCATCTCACGAATAAGGGAAATAAATGGCTAATTAAATAAACCGGGAGTGATCTCCCCTACACTTTCTCGAATATTCTAATATAACACTACGTGGGATGGCAACTCGGAATATAGAAATAATTTTTGTTTACTTAAACTTTTAAAAATAGAATAAAATCTAGTAGAAAAAAGGAATTGCGCACCAAGCGAACGCCAAAACAAAATGTGCATAATAGTGCGCAATATTATTAGTACTTTATAAATTTACATGCGTTTTTTGAGAAATCGGAAATAACGAAAATTAGTACTTCCGGTCAACGGAAATTACTCAAAGTTTGACAGATGGTAGAGAATTAGATCTTTTACTTACAAGTGAAATTTCATTTATCTATATATATCTGAAATAGTACTCAAGTTATAGGCTTTTGAAAAATTCAAAGTAGAAAAAGTACCACTTCCGGTTATCTGAAATCGCTCAAAAGTTGATAATGATCTACGATTTTGATAAAATACTTATATATGACATTTCATCAACCTAGCTGTAACGATACTCAAGTTATCGTGTTTACACACACACACAGACACACACACACACACAGACATACGGACAAGATTGCAAAATTATGTTTTCCGTATCAGTGAGGTGTAAAACGTCGAGATTTGTAAAAATCTCGATTTTTGTTTGCACGATTACAAGACTTTCTCTATACTTCGTATATACGAGAAAGTAAAAATGGTTTAGACTGTGATTGATAGTACTAGCCAGGGGTAGACTGGGTTACCGGAACAAATCCCGATGAGCCGACAATAAGTAAATTATACTAGTGGTCTGACACAGCCAGTCTACCCCTGATGGTGATGCTGTCAGTGGCGTAGCCAGGATCGTCTCAAAAGGGGGGGGGGGCAATTTTTACCCGGGGACAAGCTTTCGATTTTCACCCCCCCCCCCCCCCCCTCAGACTTTTGATTTGCATCCCCCCCCTCAAACTTTCGATTTGCACCCCCTCATACTTTATATATATACAGTATATACCGAGGGGTCTATGGGGGATTATGACCCCCCTAACCCCCACCCCCTGCCTACGCCACTGGATGCTGTAACAGTTACGAGGTGA